AATTGGTTTTCAGAGATTGGTAGCATTTTCCAGCGAAACTGTTGGAACCTACAGATACCTTTTTTAGAAGTTTTGAAATTTTGAATTTTTTTTTTTTTTAATAAAGGGCCACTCAAATTACTATTTATTTCAGATCAATTTTATCAGATTATTTTGTGTTGTTAGTGTGTTGTGTTTTGTTTTTCAAAGAACTGGTCCATGTCGTCTTAAGTGGTCAAATTTATATCCTTTTGATGCCTACAGGTCTATAATGGCATCTTTTGTTTCATTCCTGACAGTGGGGATTTTTGTATTCTCTCTTTTTCTTTGTCATTCTTGCTGGAGAGTTGTCTGTTTTATTGACTTTTTTCCAAAGAATCCGCTCTTTGTTTCATTGATTTTTCTCTTGTTTTTCTGTTTTTAATCTTACTGATTTCTGCTCTTAATTTACTTTCTCCTGCTTGCTTTAGGTTTATTTTGCTCTTCTTTTTCTAGATTCTGAAGATAGGAGCTTAGATTATGAATTGAGAATTTTTTTCCTCTTTTCTAATATTTACATTTAGTTGTATGAATTTCTCCCTCAGTACTGCTTTGTGTCTCAGGAAATTTGACTTGTGTTCTTACATTCATTCAGGTCAGCATATTTTTTGGTTTCCGTTGAGACTTGCTCTCACCCACGGATAATTTAGGAGTCTGTTTAGTTTCTAAGGAGATTTTGCTGTTATCTTCCTGCTATTTCTAGTTTGGTTTCGTTATAGTCAGAGAACATAGCCTGTGTGATTTCAGTTCTTATATATTTGTCAGGGTTTTCTTAATGGCTCAGGCTGTGGTCTCTCATGGTTTATGTTGTGTGGACACTTGAAAAGAACACATATTTTATTGTCATTCATTGGCATGTTCAGTTAGTGTCCATTAGATCTTGTTAGTTGATGGTGTTGAATTCTTTATGTTTGCTGATGTTGTGTCTAGTTCTATCTGTTGTTGGCAGAGGGGTGTTGAAATTTCTAACAATAATTGTGTCTTTGTTTCTTTCTCCTTTTCTGTAAGTTTATGCTTCACATATTTTGCAGTTCTTTTGCTCGGTGCACACACGTTTAGAATTGTTTCGTCTCCTTGATGGATTGACTTTTTTTTTTTTTTTAAGATTTTACTTATTTATTTGACAGAGCACAAGCAGGGGGAGCGGCGGGTGGGAGAGGGAGAAGCTGGTGGGGCTCAATCCCAGGACCCTGGGATCGTGACCTTAGCCAAAGGCAGACGCTTAACCCACTGAGCCACCCAGGCGCCCCTGGATCAACCTTTTTATCATAATGTTCCTCTCTGTTCTGATCATTTTCTTTGCTCTGAAATCTACATTAGCTGATATTAATAAAGCTACCCCCGCTTTCTTTTGGTTAATGTTTCCATGATGTGTCACTTTTCATTCTTTTACTTTCAATCTGCCTATATTATATTTGAAATCTGTTTCTTCTAGATAGCATATTGTTGGGTCATTTTGGTTTTGTGGGTCTTTTTGATCCATTCTTTGAATCTCTGTCTTCTAATTGGTACATTTAGACAACTTAACATATGATATAATTATTGGTACATTAAGGTTTAAGTCTGCCCTGTATTCTATAGTTCAGAAATTTCCATTTGGTTCTTTTTTATGTTACATTTCTTTTCTTAGACTTTCTGTTTATTTGCTGAGACTTTCTATCTTTTCATTTGTTTTACTTTGTCCATAATTGCTTATTGAAGCAGTTTCATAATAGCTGCTTTAAAATCTGCAAATCATTTTAAACATTTTAAACATTTCTTGTCATTTCAGTATTTGCATATATTGGCTCTTTTTACATTCTGCTTGACATCTTGGTTGTTGGTATGACAAGTGCTTTTTTTATTGGAACCTGAAAATACTGAGGATTATGTTACGAAACTCTGGATTTTATTTAAACCTCCTATTTTAGCTACCCTTCTCTACCACCACCTCAGCAGGAGGAGGGAATCCTTCATTGCTGTTGGCAGGCTGAGAGTCCCACACCCCATGAGGTCTCCGCAGACACTGCCCCAGGGCACTGCTCCTTACTACCTGCTGGAGTGGAAGCCCATGCTTTTCTGTGGCTTCCACTGATAGTGCGGGAGGTCAAAGGGAGGGCCTTCCCACGTCCTGGTGAGGGTGGACTGCTGAAGTCCTCCTTCCAATCTTTGCTGATGTAGGTGGGCGTGGAGCCAGCTTTTTCTGTGGTGGTTGAATAGAGGAGTGTTTTTTCTAAAAGTTTTCTTCTTGCTTGGCCGCTTGATTTTTGCAGGAGGGAGAGCAGGTTTTTGTTGTTTTTGTTTTTTTTTTCTACCCCATTGGCATTCTGGTTGGCTGACTCCTTCATATCCAGGTCTAGGATAGATAAGGCAAAAGAAAACCCGGGAAACTCACCACTGTGTTGTTCCTCAGAGTCTTTCAGATTCTTCCAGTCTTATGTTTGTTTTATAGCTAATGTCCAGAGCTTTTAGTTGAATTAGCAGGAGACAAAGGGAAAAAATACATTTACTTCATCTTAACTGAAAGCAGAAGTTATTTGTCTAATAAAAAAAAGAAAAGCGAACCTTCTGTCCCCCTCCATCCCATACTAGTTAAGTGTCGCTTTTCTCTGCTCCCTTTTAGAACCAAATTCTTTGGCAGCATTTGTCTATACAATTGACCCTTGAACAAAGGGGGAATTTTTATTGAAACCTGGAAATTTTGAATATAATGTTCTAAAACTCTGGATCTTATGTAAACATTCCGTTTTAGCTAGCTGCCTCCAACACACCACCTCTGCAGGAGTCGGAGGGAAGGTCCTCATCACTGTTGGCAGGCGTGGGAGCTCCTGTAGTCAGACATTCGGGTGTAACTTCTGACTTCCCCGAAACTTAATTTACTAATAGCCTACTGTTGATTGGAAGCCTCACCCATAACACGAGCAGTCAAATAGCACATACTTTTTACATTAAAGGTATTATATATTATAGTCTTGCAATAAAGTAAACTAGAGAAAAGAAAATGTAAGTGGACCCGCACAGTTCAGACCCGTGTTGTTCGAGGGTCACCTTTACTTGTTTTCTCCAAAGCCCCTCCTCTCAGTCTCTCTTAAACCTAGTAAGCTTACCCTTCCAGTCTTCTCAAACCATCTTGTTGAGGCACCATTTACAAGTGGGTAATCCAAGCAGTAATATCCATCAGAACTGTGGCTGAAGCTAAAATTGTACTTAGAGGAAAATCTGTAGCCTTAATTGTTACATTAAAAGAGAAAGAAACCTTCAATCCAAATGAACTAATCTAATTTCAGAAGTTAGAGAAAGGATCAACCTAAAGAAGAGATAAAAAGATGTTCAGACATTAGTAAAAGAGAAAGCAAAGCTACAATTGAGAAAATTAGGAAAACTCTGGCAGATGATTAAGAAAAACAAAACAAAAATAAACAGTAATGGAAATTAGAACATGTTATAAATTTAATCATCTTTAAGTAAGATGTGAAATAAATTATCAAAAAACTGCCAATGATCAGTTGATTCAAAAAGAAGTAGAAAATCTGAATGATCCTATAACCATTAAAAATGGTGAGTTAAAAATTCCTTCCCTTGGTGAAAAGACCCAGGTGATTTTTCAGCTGATTTTGGACAAATGCTAATTCTTTTCTTTTTCTTTTTCAGAAAACAGAAAAAAGGGTAATAATTGTCATTTAGTTTTTCTGAGGCTTATGCTATGAGCTCGTTATCAAAATTAGTAAAGAGTGTGAAAGAATGAAATTGACAAGCCTGTCTCTTTTATGAACATAGCCAAAAAATCTAGCAGTGTATGAAACAGGTAACATTACCCAGTTTGGCTATTCCAGGAATGCAAGGTTTAATCAATGTTAGAAATGTATCCAAAATATTTACACCTTAATAAAATTATGAGTCACATGTCACATTGTTGAATTAGAATAGTGAAGGTCTTTGTTAAATCTGAGAATGCTAGATGTCTGCTACATGATGAGCACTAAAACTCAGTTTTGAGTGGGAGACTGGGTCACAGGAGACGGCACGCTGATTTAATGGAAGGGAGTCGGTCATTTGTCAGCAGTGGCAAAACGTGAGTTAGGCGTTGGTGAGTGATATTTTGTGAAACTGTTGGAGGGAGCGCCTTTCGAGGAGAGTAGAGGCGGTACCATGTGCTGGAGCAGAGCTGTGGCACTGGGGAAGCGTCGGTGAGATACAGCTAGAGTGCGCAGGAGGGGAGAGGCGTTGTGCGCCGTTTGTGAAAGGCACCATTTGCGAAAGGCACCATTTGCGTTACTCATGCTCAGCAGTGCAGCAGATTTCAGCCCGGGGAGTCAGGATGCCGGTGGAGATCTTGGAGCACTCTGTTGGCCTTTTTAGGTTTCATGTCTGATCTTTAGAAATAACATGGATACCTTGTTTGCACTCTTCTGCGTGTGTACCTTATTTGAGGTCAGGTACTGCCACTATTGACCTTGATTTTTGTCACTAAAAATGTAGGAATCTGAATTCATGACCGAAGCACTAGTATAATGTGTTAATTTTCTCTGTGTTATATCCCGGGCTTTTAAAACCACTCATGGTCATCTCTTTTCACCAAGCTGGTGCCTGAGAACTTTCCAATGAAATAGATGACAGAGGCCTGATTCATTTCCTTTGTTCTGCCGTCTTTTTAACCTCACATGTGGTGAAAGCACATTTTAATATACCTCCTCTTCTTAAGAGATATTTGTGATTTTACTGGAGTTTTTGATTGAGTTGTATTTTTTAAAAGGAAAGTCATTGAACTGAACTTTCACTGATAGCCAGGTTTTCTCTTTTTTTCCTTTTCCTTTTTTTATTCCACTGGTACATACAAGGCAACAAGTTTGTTAGTAACTCTACATTTGTGAATCAGAATTTTAAACCTACGTTAATTTCATAAATGCACTCACTTTTCTCTTAATGCATTTCTTCTAATCCCTTAAAGATGCTTTTATTTAATTTTCTGGATTATATAATGTATTTGGCTTTTTTAATTTAAGGTGTGACTGCACAGAAAAGTTACAGAACAAATTTGACTTTTTGCGCTCACAGTTGAATGATATTTCTTCGTTTAAGAATATCTACAGATATGCCTTTGATTTTGCAAGGGTAGGTAGAATTTCCATGTTTTGTAATTTTAACTTTTTTTTTTTTTAATCTTGAAACCACCCTCAGGAGAATTTTTCCTTATGTTTTAGGATAAAGATCAGAGAAGCCTTGATATTGATACCGCTAAGTCTATGCTAGCTCTTCTGCTTGGAAGGACATGGCCATTGTTTTCAGTATTTTACCAGTACCTGGAGGTGTGTATGTTCTTACATTTTTTGAAAATACTAATCTGATGAATATTAAATTTAAATTTTGATTTTAAAACTTACTCTGATTGAAAATAAACCTTTAGTTGAGGAAAGACAAATAGATTTTTAAATACTGTGCTTTTAAAAAAATCTGCTTAAGTAGTAAAAAGTTTCTGTTAAAGTGTGTACATATATGTTGTCATTTTTAGACGCAGGTTCATGTTCATTAATACATTCTGTACATGAGATACTTGGATTCCAGCCCTGCATCCCTCCCATAAAAAAAGTAACCTTCAAGAAATACGTTTTAACAAAGACGTTCTTCGTGCAGAATTAGTTTCCTGGACTTTTGGCAGAAGAGAGTTGATGCTCGTATATAAGTATCAAGCTTCTAAATCAGGTTTCTTTTCTTTTTTTTTTAAGATTTTATTTATTTATTTGTCAGAGAGAGAGCACAAGCAGGGGGAGCAGCAGAGGGAGAGGGAGAAGCAGACTCCCCCCTGAGCAAGGAGCCCGATGTAGGACTCGATCCCAGGACCCTGAGATCATGACCTGAGCCGAAGGCAGACGCTTAACCAACTGAGCCACCCAGGCAACCCAATCAGGTTTCTTTAATACAAGATCTTAGGCTGAAATCTACATAAGGGAACCAGTTGTAGTAATAATAAAATTTTACTTTTCACTTAGGTTCAATCTAAATAATTAGAATTAAAATATCTTATGCCCACGGATATGAGAATGGCTATAATCCTGTACTTCAATGTACTGATGAGTAAAGAATGTATGCTGAATTCATGGAGAAAGTATTCTTTTAGAAGGTTTAACGTAGCACCCACCACCAGCAGTGGTTCTGAGATACTGTTCTTCTTTCCATTGCTTTCTCTGGTTTTCTATCTGTTTTTGTGCCTTTTCAGTTTTAGTTTTTTTTAGTATGCCGCTCACCATTTCTGGAGTATATATACTTTTTCTTTTTGCTTTGAAAATGATTTCTCGTAAAGCTGATTATCATAGCAAATTCCTTGGAGTAATTTTGTTTAAAGCTTCTGATAAGAAGCAATGATATGGGGCGCCTGGGTGCCGCAGATGGTTAAGCGTCTGCCTTCGGCTCAGGTCATGATCCCTGGGTTCTGGGATCGAGCCCCGCATCGGGCTCCTTGTGCAGCGGGGAGCCTGCTTCTCCCTCTACCTCTGCTGTTCCCCCTGCTTGTGTTCCCTCTCTCTCTCTGACAAATAAATAAAATCTTTAAAACAAAAGAAAGAAAGAAGCAATATTATGGAAAGGACTTAAGTAAGTGGGTTTCATGTACACTTAAATCTTTAAGCTTAATAAAATGGGCGTAATGAAGGCTAGTGAAGTAGATGTTTTTGATGGATGTTATCAGTCTTCCTCCTGTTAGTAGTTTTGGGCAAAAATAAATAGAACTGAGTGTAAAAGTATTCACCTCTAAAGGGAGCTGAGAGAACTAAATATTTTCAGTGCTTGTTACGTAGAGGGTGTTCGACCTGCAGTGTTTCTTTAAATCTTTATAACACTGTTTTGAATTATGTTTTATCCCCCTTCAGCAAATGAAGGAATGGGCTCTGTTGTTAAATAATGCTCGCAGGGTCACCCAAGTAAGTGGAGAAGTGGGGTTTGAACCCAGGCCAGTACTCTTTTACTGCCTACAAAGATGCCAACTTCAAAACGTGGCTGAACAGGAAAGTTCAGTGAAGAAGGGCTGTTCTGGGGGCCACAGGAGGGGACGCGGTGTGTCCAGGGTAGGCTGTCGGTCTTGAGTTCAATGGTGGTTCCACAAACATCTACATAGGTGGACATCGACTTTTACCCTAATTCTTAGTACCTTCCATGCTCCTGTGATTTCTCTAGAATGAAGGAAAGATAAAGGAAAACGTAACTTGGATAATGTTAACATGTAAATGCCCCTGAGATTTCTCCTAGAAGCACAAATAATTTAAAGAGCAGTAAGTGTTTTAAGATGAAATCACAAAAAATGTTACAACTGGGTTTATCGAAGTCAAGTCCTAATAAATAATGCTTATTCTGTATTCAAAATATTTATATCATTTTCTACAGCAATCAAAGTATCGTGTTATGAACAAAGATCAGTGGTACAACGTATTAGAATTCAGCAGGACTGTCCATGCTGATCTTAGTAACTATGATGAAGATGGTGCTTGTAAGTATGTTTTCCTATGAAAATAAAATTCTTAACAACTCTTAGATGAGAATATACATTTGTATAGCATTGCCGTAAAGGATTTAGACTTCTTAGCAATAACTTATTATTTAATAATGTGGAAAGTGTGGGGAAAGCAGGTGTAGAATGTAGACCAAGAGCTTAGATTGAGCAGTATATTATAAAATCTTGCCGCAGGGGCGCCTGGGCGGCTCAGTCAGTTAAAGTGTCCAACTCTTGATTTCGGCTCAGGTCATGATCTTGGGGTTGTGGGATCGAGCCCCATGTTGGGCTCCATGTTCAGCATGGAGTCTGCTTGAAATTCTCTCCCTCTCCCTCTGCCCCTCCCCCTCCACTCGCTCTTGCTCTGTCTTGTGCTCTCTCTCTCTCAAATAAAATCTCTTAAAAAAAAGAAATATAACTTTTTAGTCATTCAAGCTATCAGTCAATATTCTTCAGTGGAAAGGGCAGAATGTTTTAAAACAGATCTGTGAAGTAATGATAAGTTAGGTAAGCCACATTCTCTAAAACGGTACAAGTTTTCCATTTCCACCTCCAGTTTGGTTGCGTGTGTTGTGTTAGTGTTGGGAAGGGTGGTAAGACACATTCCGATAAACATGAATTGAAATGTGGACTTATTTAAAGAAGGGCTAACTTTGTTTCTCCATATATATATATATATATCTCCCTACAGAATGGTAAATCATTTAATAATACTTTTAGAAACAATACCAGCAGCAGTAAGCTGGCAACCTAAGGACTATATGTGGCCTGCAGATGTATATATTCGTGTGTGTTTTGAGTCAACCTTTAAATTAAGAGTTTTTGCATAAAAATAAAGCTTCCAGATTTGTTTGAAAAATCAGAAAATCTGACAAAACTGTACCTGGAATTAGTGACTGAGGCCGAGCAGTAGCTCATGTTGGACTCGCTTCCCACTTTGCTGGCCCACAGTTTATGCCAACAGCTCGCTTGCTTTTCAGCTGTCGTTTATTACCGGGCTTACCTGCTGCTTATCTTCGAGTAGGGAGGTATGTCTGTGAAATTGAGAGAAAAAGAGAGACCACCAGAACGTTGTGTTTTAAGAAAAGTAGAGCAAGCATATTTTTTTCTGGCAATGAGTTTTCCTCTATTTAAAAAGAGAAAGAGAGAGAACAGTGAGTTCATTTAAACTGCCTACCTGGCTTCAGTCAGGAAATGAGTTTGTACCCCCTGCTTTATACAGATGTCTTTGTAGAATAGTTCTTAGGTTGGCTATTGAGTAGACACCTGCTGAATGTTTAGGCTCCTGCTGGGTCCTCTTACCGGCCACCCCTTCAACAAGCTTACACATTTCTTGGTGAGGGAACCTGGAAATACTACATTAAACACTTTGCATATTCCTTAATAATTAAGTAACAGAATGTTGTGAACATTTAGAAAAGGGAGAGGTTAATCTTGACTTAGTTATTGGAGAGTTCACTTTGCGAGGGAAGTTGCAGCAAATACCCATTGTGGGAAGTCCCTTCTGTCTGAAGAGAAAAGACAGGGAAGCAAGCACCGGTGAGTCCAGCAGTGGGACGGGGAGCAAACCCCTGGGGCAGCGGAGGGTCCGTCCTCAGCGCTGACGCAGAGCTTGTGGGCAGTGTGTTCTGTCGTTGCACGGATGAGTTCACTGAATCCTAACAAAAACTTCTTCTTTATTCCAGGGCCTGTTCTTCTCGATGAATTTGTTGAGTGGCAAAAAATCCGTCAAACATCATAGCAAGAACTAATGTGAAGAAAATGCAAACCTTTTGGCACCCACGTGTACACAGGCTAAGGAAACAAGGAAAAAATCCAAAGGGTGCATTTTCATTCATACGAAAGACTTCTCATAGTACTTTTTTTTCCTTTTTTTTAAAGGAAGTTTTCTTGTTACATGTGATGGGCATTGAGCCACACCTCTCCTGAGACTGAATATTGAAGCTTTTGTTTTGAGTTATGTTTCTAACATTTATTTCAGAACAATAAAGATTCAGATTTGTGACAAAGGCCTTAAAGTGAAGATGTCCCTTGAGTGTCAGAGTGGTATTTATTTTTGTACATTTTAATTCTTGAATTTTAGAGGATGTTTCTCACCATGAATTTGGAGTTTCAAAGATTTTAAACAATCTTCATATTTGGCAATGTAGTCGGCTGATGGTATGGCTCATTATAATCATTTGTGAACAGTTAGGAAGAATATTGGCCTTGGCTTCTGGGATAATGATGTTCTGATACAGCTAATAAAAACCATTTCTGGATATTGGGAGTTCTCCGGCGCTCAGCTCTGGTGTTCTGTGAAACCAGCCATGGTCTTACGCGCATGCTTTACCTGGAAAGTTGAGAATTGGAATGATTATGTCCCGGTATTTTGCTTCTAACCGTTAAGTAGTACTGTCAGTAAGCGTTCATCAGCATTGAATGTGTATTCTTAATATGACTTGGCAGGGTTTCTGTATTGTGTCAGTTACAGAGTTCCATTTCTGTGTGAAAGAGCAAGGTTCCTGCATTAATGGTCTCAAAATTAGGCTGAGGACAGAATCAAGAGCAGTATTGAACTTGTGTGGTCGTCACTGTTCTCATTACGAGTAGCGTGTATATGATCTCTTTAACGTCATTCTGTGATACAGATACAAGATCTGGTCTTACAAGGGGACCTGAGCTCTGATGCTGTGGATTCAGTTAAGATACCTACAGGAAAAGAAGATAATAAAATAAGGAGCCTTGAGAGAGCTCTGGGTAAAATGGTGCACAGCTCAAGGGTTCTGTTGATGGTATAATGACAGCATTGCTAATTGTCACGACTTCCTAAACGTTGGCAGTGAAGTATCTTGAGGAAAGGACAGCCTTTTCTAATTCACGTAAAAGCCATCTTTTGGACGAGGGGCCAGGGCTGTTTTGGACATTGCTTTTCAAACCACCCAGCATCCCGTTCATGGTCCAGCCGCACCCTCGACAGCATCGCTCATTTCAGTGTATGAGTGGAAGGAAGTAAATAGATTATTTTTCCACAATAAGAACATTTCTATTGGGATTTGAGGTAAAGGTTGATTTTTGAATAGTGAATTTATTTAATGAGTGACTTTCAGTATTGACTGCATAAGGGAAAATAGCATTTTAAAGATTTTTATGGTTTATTTGGTTAATGAGCTGGGAGAAAGTGATTACTCTTTTACTTGCCTTTTAATGAAATCACTTTGTACAACTTTGTAAAACACTGATATAACAGTGCAAAAACTTGTTTTTCCTAAATGTCTTATCAATAAGGATAATTTTCCTGAAATGTCCCTTTTAAGTATTAGAATGACTGAATTATTAGAACCGAGCATATACTGACAATGCTGTGATTCAACAATATGATGTTGTAATATCAAATTTACTGCAAGTAAAGCATTTAGATTTGACATTTGAGTCTTTATAATTTAATTGACTCTTCCCTCCAAGGCACAACTTCTAAACTTGAAGAATATTGCCCACTTTTGTTTAACTTCAAAATCTATAATTCAGATCTTACAAGTTGTCAATTTATAGCCTGAAGTAATAGTAATGTCCTTGTTGTCTTCATTAAGTAAAATAAAGAACACTCAGAACTTATAGATGACTTTAAAAAAAAAATAAAATAAAGGAAACTGTTTACTTTGTACTTATCCAAAGTACATTTAGACTTCTGGAATCTGAAAATTAAAATGAAACTTTGTTTCCTTAAAGTCAACAGCCCAATCCTGCCTGGGCCACTCTCGCTTTACTCTGTTGTTCCTTCTAGTTCTCTCAACCTTACTTTGGAGGCAGATTTACTCTCCCTAATTCATCAGTTAGAATGTGGGCTTGTTCCTTATCTTTCATCTCTTAATTTATATTTGAACAGTTTGGGAAATACCTTTAATATATTGCGAAAAGTATAAGAGGTTAAGTGGTGTAAGCAAATAGGCCAGTAATAAGGAGCCTGCAGTATATTAAAAAAGTCTCCTAACTGCCGAGGCTCTTCTTTTTATTAGTTAGCTTCAGGTGCCTTCCCAGGAATCCTGTGGTACCATTTTCTGAATTACTTTGTATGGGATGAAATCTCACTGGTGCTTTATGGTTGGAAACGATGTGCTTCTAGAATAGCATACCTGTAACACTCCTGGAAGGAAATAGAGCCAGGTGTGTTTTCTCAACTGTTAGAGGATGCAGATCTTGTCCCCTGCCCCCTTGAAGCCAGTGCTGTTTGACAAGGCCTGGTTTCTGCAGGAAATTGCCAGGGATTCAAGTCCCACGGTGTTGTCTCTAAACAGCTACCACAGTTTTACCTGAATGGGAGATAAGTGATGTTTTGTCATGTGCTGATCTGCATTACTCTGTCTTCTATGGTCTAAGGATTCCTTGTTTTTTTTAAATGCTGCCAGTAAAATTCTTGACAGTACATTTTTGACAGTAATAGTATTTTTATGTATAATGCATAGATTGTGTTGATTTGGGTTTTACTCTGTTGGAAGTCCTCTAGATGAGTGTTTCTTAAACTGGAACGTGAGAGCCTTCTGTGGGATGTGAGATTGACCCCTGAGGGCTGTTTCTCTTACAGCAAATGCCTTTATATCTAGAAAACCACAAATTATTGTTAACAGTATTGAATGCCATCACTTTGTGCAGGGAGTGGAGGAGAAAGAGAGTAGAACTTAAGGCATACAGGTTGTGTAGAGTAGCTTAGATTCCGAACACGGGAAGTGTATTTGCGATGAAACATTTCACTTTGAACTAAGTGTTCCTTCAACAAAACACATCCTTTCTAATTGCTTATGTGAACTTATGCATGGATTTATTGGAATATGTTTTGTGGTCAGCTTGAGAAGCAGGTAGTAAGAATGCTGATTTGTTTTCCTGCTTTCTTGAAGAAGTGTACTTAAAAACTGTGATAATTCACAGTCGGATAAAGTTTTGTTTGGGCTTTGCAGGCTCCTGTGGCCTGAAGTTTTGTGGCATATCTCAAATCTCATTGATTTCCTCAATAGGAAACACTAATCTGAATTATTAAATATTCTGGATCATACAATTTTTTAATGAATGTAGCTTTATTAGTTTCATAAATGCTTTGTAACAACCAGAAAAAGAGATTGCTTAAGACTTGGTCTGTCTTGTTGACAGTCCCAGTTACCCATGAGTGGTACTTTGGAAACCCCAAAAACAATCTCCCTTGTATGGTAAATTTATGTAGATTAAAGATTGTGGGAAGATGAGTTTCAGCCCCACAGCTTAGGCAAATTGTCAATACAGAGATTTTTCTAGTGAACTTCTATTTCTTTGGAGCAGATCTTTAGAGCTTTTAACGCACAATTTATTTTCCTTTTCCCAAACACCAGTCTTAGTAAAACATCTTAAATTTGCTAAATCCACCTTACAGTCCTTTGACTCTTATACAGATAGTGCTTCTCTTGCTTCTTTCCTAGACCACTTGTTATCTAGAACATTTTGTCTTTATTTTGTGTGCTTTGTCTTTTATTAGGGCCTTTTGTAATATGGCTCATTTTTGCATGAGTTCTAGTTTACCATGTGTTAAATATTCTTTAAAATAAATAAGGTTAGACTTTAATATGAGTATAGAATCTTAACTTACAGTGCCAGTTTTATTGGAGCTTTTTTGTATTTATGTAATGGATCTATGGTCTGTCGATGGAAGAGTTAGAGTAAAATAGTTTCATTAAAATTTTCTTAGTTCCTCCCAAATTCTGCCATTTTGAAGAAGTTTTATCCTTCTGTATTTTGGCTTTCCTAGCTTTAAAGTATTAATGAAAATCCTTCCATGGATTGTTTCAAGTATTAAGTTAAAATTGTGGATATTATGAAATAACCAAATACCATACTTAGAAGCTAACAGCAGTAAGCAAAATGGATGTGTAGAAAGCCAGATTCACCCCAAACTCGGTGTGTGTGTGTGTGTGTGTGTGTGAGAGAGAGAGAGACGTGTGTGTGAGAGAGAGAGAATGTGTGCGAACTATTACCTGTAATTTATTTTTCCATGTAGAAAACAAGATTGTGCATAGCAGCTCTTTCCATGTCTGAAGGTGAAAGGAGCATTTTGCTTTCATGTGTGATTGCCAGCAGTTGCATTTGAACCACAAAAGATGAAGGACTTTAATACTTTGCTTGAACAGCTTGTCTTGTGAGACTTAGTATCATTGATTCATCAAGCTTAGCAAAACTAATTTTTGTGAGTGTTCTTAGTTTACTTTGAGTATTTTAGCTGTATTATTCTGTCATGCAAATGAATTCGGACTCCTAGGTGCAGAACCCCGACTTGTTTTGGACTTTATGGAAGTAATACCAGAGAAACCTGGGTGGGTTTTCTCTTTGCCACATTTTGTCGCATCACTTCCAGACGCGTCACTTGACCTGTGTTCTCTTCAATTTCACCTTATGTGAAATAGCCATAATACCCACCAGAATTGTTAGGAAGTCCAAGCAGGGCCTTGTCCATAACATTTATTAGTAAGTGTTAAATGAATACACCTTGATATCTGAACAGAAAACAATTCGTTATAATAGTTTTTTCTAAACAAGGTTTTCTATCTTGTATAAATTGAAACTATTGGCATTTCTTGTTTTATTCTCCCATTTGTTTTTATAATCACGCTTATTCATATTACCTCTGGGACAAAATATTTCAGTAAATCCCAAACATCTGCTATGTGCCAGCAAGTATTCTGGGCCTGAGAGTGTGTGTGTGTGTGTGTGTATAGTTTGTCATGTGATGACAAGGTGATTAGGGAAAGTAAGTCAAGGAAGTGGTCTGGGGAGTGAGTATAGGATCGCTATTTTAAGCAGTACACACTGACAGAGTGACACTGAACAGAGATCTAAAGAAGTGAACCGTTGCTCCATTTGCATATCTGGGGAAGAGCTTACCAGGCAGAAGGAGTATTACAGCCCTGAGCTGGTGGTGTGCACAGCGTCTTCAAGAACTAGCAAGGAGATCACTGTGACTGTAGAGAGTGAGACCAGAGGAGTGGCCAGGACTAGGAAGTTGAGGTTAGAGAGATCGGGGGTAGT